GGTAGCCAAGAAGAAGCTTATACTCCAGTAGAGAAGTAGCTGATTAAATAACTCTCTGAACCCACTGACGCAGCTAGGAGAGATACAGGCCGCTATCTGGTAGTTGATGATGGTAGACTGTCTGTAGATCATACAACCATTGAATCGTTCCTAGGCGTAGCTCTCGACGGATAATATCTAGGCCGACTACTAGCATACCGAGGATATTATTCAGAGGGAAGAACGTATTTCGGGCGCTATATATACCCTGAATCTCCTGAGCGCATTAGATGTGGAATCAGTAGGATATACGGCTGGGGATATCACTAATGAAGCGGTAGGGTTACAGCAGTAGCACATACTTAAGCAGGAGAATCCGAGCGACCCAGGCCAGCTCTGCTAGCTTTGTAGTATAGAGATAGGGTTTGTAGATACTAAGACTCTAGGGCCGGATCCCGAGTACTGCAGTAAAGGCTACCAGTAGGGAATGAAATTTATCGCCCCGCCGATAGATCGCATCGGTTATCAGGCAACTAACACAGAGCGAGAAGACTACCTTAGTAACCCATTGCTCAGCGTCTGCTGGCAAGGTTAGAAACTAACTATAGGGAAGATTCTCTAGATCTGCCTCCCTCCAGTTAGAGTCAGATCCCTGATCTAATTTATTCAGATCTGGAAGTAGCTCATCAGGATTCGGAAACCTATCTCTATCCTTCTTCTTCTTATTTTTATCTGTATCTTCAGAATCATTATTACCACTGTTGAGATTATTACTCCAGGAGCTAGAATCATCACAGTCTGTTCTAGCAGGGTCAGGTAAGTATAAAGAGCTAGAATCTGTTTCAGAGAGACTAGTTAGGTTGGTAGGATCGGTAGGATCAGTAGGATCGGTAGGATCAGTGGGATCGGTAGGATCAGTGGAATCGGTGGGATCGGTAGTATTGGTGGTATCGGTAGGCAAAGATCTAATGCTAGAGTAGGTCGGGATACATACTGCCATAATTTTCTGTATGATCTGTGGCTCTGCTGCCAGCAGACAGTCTAAGCGGGGTTGCTTTCGCTGGGGTTGCTGGCCAGCTTGTAGATTAGGCGGTAGATCTAGAGACAGACAGGACCCATCACTGTAGGAACTGTTGCTCTGTGTAGACAGAGAATGCTTATAGCGCTAGGATAGTCTAGTAGATCGGGTCCTTGGCTGTAGTTGAGGAATGGTAGTAGTATCCAGGGATTTATACAGTAATCGCTGATCCTTATCTGCAGTAACCCCTAGAGAGGCAAGCCGTTGTGGCCGGTCAGCAAGCTGAATCTGCCGCTGGAAGAGATTTTTCTCTACCTAGGGCCCCGAGTCTGGGCATTGTAGGTAACAGTTTAGGGTCTCCTATAGGATCTAGAGCGTGTAGGACTGCTCCTTGTCTAGATAGACCCCTAGCAGAGAGATCCGATCTGGTTCAGGGAGGGAAATAGCACGGACAAGAAAGCAGAGAAACTGTTTCTAATATCATACGTACTGCCGCTCGGTCTCTGGCTAGAGCCGTCCTAGGGGCCGTCTCCGCATTCGTTGGTGGGGGATCCGGCAGCCAAAGATCTCCCAGACAGATATATGGGTCTGCGCTAACGTCTCCCGGCTATGATCCAAAACCTGGTCTATTGTGTGGACGATGATAGTAAGAATCTGGTTGTGCCGGGTATACTTCTGTTGCTGCTTATCCCGCTTATCTAGACAAGGAGATAGAGATCCACCGCCCTATTACTCCTATAGCGCAGGCAGGACTTGCGAGGTATAGAGAGAGCCTGCCGTACGGGCTAGACCAAGTAGCGAGCGCTGGTAAAAGTATCGGGGCCATTCAGTAAACTGTAACTATAGAGTAGTATTATCCTGTTGCTGGCGCTAGGCGTCAAAGATAAAGAGCGAGTTCTCTACAGTAGCTGGTGTAGTAGTAGATACCCCTAGACTAGTAGCTGGCCAGAGCTGATTCTGTTCCTCCTAGAGTACCTGGTGCTCTTGTACAAGGGTGGTCTATATCCAGCTCGGAGTAGTAGAAATAGGGAAGGTTGATATAAAACTCTCTATAGGTATAGTCAACGGCGGGGGCGAACTGGGCGATATAGGTTATGGACAACCAGATAGGCCGGGTAGGGTATCCCTGCTAATACTAGATCTTAGGGCTATTGTAAATAATTGGTCTGGCTGGCCAGATAGTATAGCTCTAGGGCCCCTGTCCTGTAGCTCCGGTGACTGTAGGTCTGGGAGTAGCGATAGTAGTAGTAGAGGACTATCCTGTCTGTTAAGATCAGCAGTAATAAACCCTTCAACTGTAGTCTCGCCAACCTCCTCTTCCTATAATTCTTCTTATACTGTCTGGTCGTTTTGTAGGATATCTCTATCAGCTTGTATCGGTACCCCAGGTCTATCTTTATCACTGTTTAGTCCTTCGTTGGCAGATAGTGAAAGGAATGACTCAGTTCTTCTTCTAGTAAGCTGGGTCGTCTGTGGGATTGACAGGGTAGCGTTGGTAGAGGTTGGTTGTAAGGTAGGAGAGTCCTGTGGCTGTACGTTGGCAGGTAGTGGAAGAGATAACTCAGTCCCGCTTCTAGTAAGCCGGGTTGTCTGTAGAATCGATGGAGTAGCGGTGGTAGAGGTTGGTTATAAGGTAGGAAGGTCCTGTGGCTGTACGCTAGAGACCCCTACAATCCAGTAGCGGCAGTACCGGCTGTTGGCGAACCAGCGCTGGGCATAGACCTAATATAGTTCTGGTCTGCAGACTGTAGGATAGTTTTGGTAGTGGTGCTCCCGGACCCGTCGGGTGCTACTGCTGAGATATATCCCACAGGTCCCACAACACCAGATCTGATATACTGGGAGCTGTGGAATTATATTGCTGCCATAGGGGAGTAGCGGGAAGTCGGTATGATCAGGCCGGGGAAGAATACCCCTAGGTACGGTACAGAGTTGTAGGCGGCGGTTGTGGGCCTCTCGTATATGATGTATTTCCCGGAGATGACGCTGCGCCATACGGCCTGGGACTGCAATCTCGCATACCTGGCAGAGGATCGCATTGTACTCCGGATGGTAATAGTACAGGGGTGGTACTGTCATAGTATAGATAAAGCAAGAGGAAAATACCTTCAGATTAACAGGATTAGGGAACTAACCCCTGATATACAGGCTTACGGCTGTAACTCACCCCCTTTTCTTTTTTTCTTTTTCTTTTTTTTTGCTTTTTCCTCTATGCCTAGAGACTAGAGTCTGCCAAGGATAGATAATAGACAGTATATGCCCTGGTTGGTCTGCGTTGTGGCCGGCGGCAGCCGTCGGGCGAATAGTATCTTATAACTGGTCCGCGTTGTGGCCGGCGGCAGCCGTCGGGCGAATAGTATCTTATAACTGGTCCGGGTTGTCGCCGGCCGCTACCGCCGGCGAGGACAGAGCTCCACAGGGGTATACAGTCGTAGGTAAGCTATATAGATCACATAGAGTATGGAGATCCTCTAGTTAGCGGGGGGTACCCTTCTCTATATAAATAATCCGATAGGGACTGTATCAGTATTATACCCTTCCCTCGGTCCTAAAGAGGGATTGTAATAGTTCAGTAGTATTAGATCAATATTGAGAGAGTCTGATCACCCTTTACCGTCGGTAGTTTTGATCCTAGAGAGGAGAAAATCGGGCCGAACAGGGGACGGACGGCAGACATGTGGAGATATATATCACTACGATTCTAGTCTACATACTGAGTCGAATTCAGTACGCCGGCGGGGACCAAATGACCGAAGATATCATCGCTATAAATCGAGCTTTAGGTATATCTTGTAGGCTCTCTCTCTTGTATCTATAGTATATCTTTGACAGTGCTACCATTGATACTGCGGTCAGTGCACCCGGCATCACTAGTCCAGAGACCCGATCCCGACGGGTACACGGGGGTTTTCAGATTGTCCAGCAGGGCTACCCAGATGTCATACCTACTGTCCGGTAGCGCGCCACGAGACGAACCGAACGGTGCCATCCGTCCCGATCCCTGATGGACGTGGGATGGAGGAGCGGCGGCGGTCGCGGCGGGGCAGGGGGGTGCCGATCGCCATAGTGAAGGCCCCGCGGGGACGGTGGAGCCCGTCTTATAGGAAGAGAGGTAAGCTCTTACGATTGTTATAATACAGATAGAACGGACGGTTGGTGGGTCACGTGACTCTGACAACATCGGTTCGTTATATGAAGGTAAACAAGCCTGAATTAGATAACTTCCCCTGGCTAGCAATTTATAAGGGGTAAAATGACCGAACTAAACTAAACTGACGTGATTAACGTGATTATCAACGGGCGTTCCTAGTCAATTAGGCAATTCCAGCGCACTATCACAGCAATACGATAAATCTGGTTCTGCCACAGACATGTTGTTATCAATACGTGATAAGTATGTCTGATTTGGCGGTCTCAGAACAACCCTTTTCTCCGTTCCGTTTTCCAACTTGATTGGAACTCACGTGTCCATTTTTGCCACCCCTCCGGGGCCTTGACACCCGCGTCCATCCATGGATGTCTTGATCATTTTGTCATAGACGACCGACTGGGCAAAGTATCAGACCGGTTTAAGTAGTTACTGAGCTCTTTGAATCCAATCCAATGCGGATAGAGCGAAGAAGGGCCGTTTAACATCGATACAACAGTCCAAATGCTCTTGCCCTCCACAGAAGATGTCGTGAGTAACCTAAAGGTTTTATCATATCTAGGTTGCTTCACAAAACGATTGTTAAGAATATCGATGAAATCTGCTGGACACATGCTGATTTGAGAACCGTCGCTCAAATCGGCAGAGTATGATTTCGAGGGCATCGCAAAACAGCATAGCATGGAGATGCGGACGCTAATTTGCCAATACGACGCCTGCCAGTCGAATAAATGCTCACAAAATTGTCGAAGTCTTTCAAGTTTGCCAATGTCTTGATGAAACAAGCTTCTCAGATCTAGAATCTCTAGAAATTCATCTCCCGTTGGACGTGCCTTGCTGAAGCGATCAATTTCTCTAGCGATGAAATCGGTCGTTTGAGACACACTCCAGTCGAAGAACAATCTCGTACGCAGGTAGAACCATCGTAAGGAATTGCAGATTATTATGGCATAGTAGCGCACCAGGCGACCTAATTCGGCCCTGTTCGAAATATTGACCCCCCCGACGAGATGGCCTGCTGTTGTCGCCTGGGATTACTGGCAAGTTTGGAATTTGGAGCTTCAGTTGCGTGTTTTCCTGCTCAATCACTCGTGAGACGTCTGCTAATCCCACATATAAGAACTCCGCCGTCGACAAATGGTCCCAAGTGTTTGCTAGGTTGAAAGGGCCATGCGCAGTAACGGACTCGCTCAACTTCTCCCGCGCAGTAAAGGCGGCCTGGAAAATCACGTCAATCGATTCCGGATTATTCATTCTGAGCTCAAGAAGTGAGTTATACAGCATGGGGCTTAACTGAAGGAGCGGGCTTGTGAATTGTCCGCGCTCAAAGAATTTTCTTTGCTTCTCAGACAACCGATCCCAGCGTTCTGCTGCCCATCCTCGTATGTGTCTCCACAAGTCATCTAAATCTCTGAAAGGGAGACGAGCCCGGCTCTTTTTGTAGTCGAGGTTGATTTGTATTTGGCGTAGAACCTGTTCACCAGCAATCATTAAACCGTTTGAGATATCAAGGAGGCGCTCGTCGTCTTCGTCTACCTCAGGTTTTCCGGGTCGAGGTTTGTACACAAGCTCATGATGTATTTTGGACCAGGTGTGCATCAAGAGCGAGACGAGTTGTATTTCCACAATCCTGCCCTCAAGTGCTGGCTCGCTCACATCCATTTCCCGAAGTGTGACACGGTAGTGTCGAGCGAAATACCCGGGGAAGCGACTGTTCCTTCCCGATATACTCAAGTTATCTGTCTCGCCATCGAGAGATCGGTACCGACGCGGGCCGGTATGTTGATCGGGCCAGTCTTGCGAGGGTTTTGCTACCTCAAAATGTTCCCAAATGATATTATCCACCATTTCGAAATCATTAGGGTAGTATAGAGCAACACGAAGACCTGCGAGATCGTGCATATCATTCTCAATCTCGTCGGGTCGTTCGTACGGCATCTTTCTTTCTTTCCGGCGCCGTCGAATCGTCCTTTTAACTGATGCTGGATCTTTCGCCCATCCCTGCGCGAAGCCTTTGTGTCCCCGGTTGTACACTTCGTAAACTATCTGTTTTTGCTCCAGCTTCTCGGTGAGAATTTTCGTGGCGGCTTTTGTTAATTTCGTGTAGGCGGTGTACCCTGAGCTCTCGTAAGAGTTGACAAACGATTCAATGACCTTGGCGTCTGAAAATTCATTATCAGGGGTGCCAGTACTACTATCTAATCGACTGATCTGATGTGACGCTAGCATTGTGGTTGAATTCTCTGTCTCTGTGATTTTACGTGAATCCGCACGCTGGCTTGAAGTCGGCATTCTGGTTATCTCTGCGCTTTGACGTGAATCCGCCCGCTGGCCTGAAGTCGGCATCCTGGTTATCTCTGCGGTTGGATGTAGACCTGGCTGCTCGCTTGAAGTTGGCATCGTGGTCAGCCCTGCGGTTTGACGTAGACCTGGCTGCTCGCTTGAAGTCGGCATCCTGGTTATCTCTGCGCTTTGATATGAATCTGCCCGCTGGCCTGAAGTCGGCATCCTGGTTATCTCTGCGCTTTGATATGGATCTGCCCGCTGGCTTGAAGCCGGCATCGTGGTCAGCCCTGCGGTTTGACGTAGACCTGGCTGCTCGCTTGAAGTCGGCATCCTGGTTATCTCTGCGCTTTGATATGGATCTGCCCGCTGGCTTGAAGCCGGCATCATGGTCAGCCCCGCGGTTTGACGTAGACCTGGCTGCTCGCTTGAAGTCGGCATCCTGGGTATCTCTGCGCTTTGACGTGAATCCGCCCGCTGGCCTGAAGTCGGCATCCTGGTTATCTCTGCGCTTTGATATGAATCTGCCCGCTGGCCTGAAGTTGGCATCCTGGTTATCTCTGCGCTTTGACGTGAATCCGCCCGCTGGCCTGAAGTCGGCATCCTGGTTATCTCTGCGCTTTGACGTGAATCTGCCCGCCGGCCTGAAGTCGGCATCCTGGTTATCTCTGCGCTTTGACGTGAATCCGCCCGCTGGCCTGAAGTCGGCATCCTGGTTATCTCTGCGGTTGGATGTAGACCTGGCTGCTCGCTTGAAGTTGGCATCGTGGTCAGCCCTGCGGTTGGACGTAGACCTGGCTGCTCGCTTGAAGTTGGCATTGTGGTCAGCCCTGCGGTTGGACGTAGACCTGGCTGCTCCATTGAAGTTGGCATCGTGGTTAGCCCTGCGGTTGGACGTAGACCTGGCTGCTTGTTTGAAGTTGGCATTGTGGTTAGCCCTGCGGTTGGACGTAGACCTGGCTGCTCGCTTGAAGTTGGCATTGTGGTCAGCCCTGTGGTTGGACGTAGACCTGGCTGCTCGCTTGAAGTTGGCATTGTGGTCGAATCCTCTGTGGTTCGACGTGGATGCGCCCGATTACGATCGTTAGATCGATCGGTGGGTTTGGCCTTCCTAAAGAAACTCATTTCAATGACGGATAATCTAATACAGAAAGTCGATTTCTTTGAGTTTCTGATCTCGTAAAAATAGGGAGCCTTTTCGGACCCAGCGGCTTCAGGGTTTGGAGAAACAGAGGGAGAGCATTCGAGAGCCGCATGTCACCTGATTTTCGCCCCCATTCGTGCCCAACTGCGTGCCCAACTGCGCGCCCCAATGCAGGTGGCTGCAAACTGTCGATCTCTAGCTGACGTGAGATAGACTGATTACCTAGCCAATTTCTCACTTCATTTCTTCAGTTGAGGACCGACTGCCTTGACGGGACGAATACTTGCGACAAAGTATCACCTTCAATACATATAACGTTGCCAATGTTGGTTCAGTTTATGCCTCTTCGCTAAGATAGCTGTATCAAATGGATTCTTTCGAGTCAAAGACAGGCGAACTATACAAGGAATTTGTGCGGTTTCGTCGACAGACAAACCCATGCATTGAAGGACTGTTGCACTTCCTGGAAGCGCCTCGATCAACTTCAAGTTACAACTCCTGTCGACTGTACGTGGCAGGCTGCTCTGTCAGCGAGTTTCAAAGCTCGCCTCTGAATTTTGAGAAGATTGATCTTGTTGATCTTCCAACAGTTCTTACCCCACCAGCATCTGGGCACAAACGACTCATAATCATCGAAGACCTCCATCCGTCAATTGTGGAACTATTAGGAGCCTCACTTGATATCGATCCTACGTTCTTCGCTGAATATATCGTAACTAACTATGGTGATATTGAAAAAGTACCGTCTCCTCCTTCGGTCGCTCTTGCTCCTTCGCAGCTCTTGCAAAACGGCTGGCTCCATTTACACTCCCAAAAAGCAGTCGATCTTGGTTCCGCGGATATGTTTCGTGGCTGCGCTTGGAAACTCGTAACATCCGGGAATGTACCCCGTACTATGCGGAGGCTCGTACCGCTATCTGGGAGACAATTGGGGATCGTTCGTGGTTGTTCTTCATTCTTTGTGAAAAATTTCGATCAGTCATGGATTGGTGAGTCCGGAGCTTACATTTTCTAACTCTTGAAACCTATCCATTGAAGGCAAGTCTGATAGTTTATAGGGCTTGTTCTGGTAGACTCCACAACATCAGATCTTCTTGAGCCGTCAGCTACAATGCTACATAATCCAGGAGCAAAGGTACGCAGGAAACCGCTTCATAATAGCTTTGAAGATTTCCGAAAACCTCTCTCCTTCTCCCAATTCCAATCTTTGAACCCTCTCGCTACGACATCGAGTCCATTAAGGTCAGAACTGGAAGTACTCATGGATTGCTTTATGGATGAAGAGCCGACTCTTCATGCCACTAACGCGAGTGTCTTGAATCTGGCTTACCACGCTTTGAGGATAAATATCGCCGAATGGAAGATTTATTGCCAAGTTATGGCCCGTTATCTATCGTACTACGAGTACTCCCTTCGTAACGTCGAGTCCACTATCCACGGTGAGCGAGGTGATATGGTAGATCTTCAGAAATGGCGACGGCGAGCTCTTCAGACACAGCATAAAATTCGATCGACAAGAAACTTCGTGCGCTACTGGTCCGCCCGAGAACAAACTGGCAAAGAAGACATTTGGTCTCTAATTGTGAATGACTTCGACCTGGTATTCGGCCAGATTGAACAATATGGCCAGTCACTGGAACGTATGATCCCAGTGGTTACGTCCATGGTTCAGCTCTCTGGCTCGCAACGGTCGATAACAGAATCGGTCAATGTGAGGCGATTGACTTACGTTGCTCTTGTTTTTATCCCTCTTTCATGGGTAGCGTCAATATTCAGCATGGCTGATGAGTATGCACCGGGGCACTCAAAGTTCTGGGTCTATTTTGTTGTCTCTATTCCACTCTGTGTGGTTATCGTTTCTGGTTCATATTTGGTGAATATACCTAATTTTGACTGGTTCAAGTTGAACAAGAATCGTCCCCGCACAGTTGGAGAAAAAAAACGGCCGCTGAGCATCTTGTCAGTTAACTAGTTCATTGCTAAACCAGAATGTCTCCATTCCAGAAGCTCCACTCTTCGTTTATAGTAGAGTAATACGGTTAGAATCCGGGATCCGGCTACAGCCCAAAGTGTATCGACTCTTAAGGGGCAAAGTCGCTGGCTCAGTTCGATTTTATGGTCTCCAGATGGAAGCCGACTCGTATTGGCGTCCAATGATCATACAGTTAGGATCTGGGATCTGTCCGTCGGTCACAACGTACCTACCCTCGAGGGATATGATGATTGTATTCATTCGATTGTCTGGTCCCCAAAAGGAAGCCAACTCGTATCAGCGTCAGATGATAACATAGTTAGGATCTGGGATCCTGTCACCGGCCAGAGCATTTCAATCCTTCCTACAGGCTTTATAAGCTCCATTCATTTCGACAAAGGGAATTCCAACTATCTGAACACAAACTCCGGTACATTCGACATAGGTTCAGTGGTTTCTGCGACGCCCATACTAGCGGACTTCATCCCTAAGCAATCTGACTACGGATTAAGTGATGGCCTTTGTTTGATAATCTGTAGTGGACAAAGGCTGTTGTGGTTGCCTCCAGATTATATACCAGCCGTTCCCTCTTTTTTCACTCTATATGCAACAATGTTCGCTATTGCTTGCGCACCAGGTCGTGTCATATTACTCGCACTCTCAAAACAATGTTACATACCTGTTACGCCTTGATCGGGCTTTGTATTACAGTACAGTACCTCAAATAGCTACCTTTCAGATTGCAGAAGCTCTGCGTTCCTGTTTCATTGCGACTTTCTATGTCTATCAAGGGCTACAAATTTCAGAATTGCATGGGGTCAGTGTGAATGATATTCATCCATCTGGATTACCATTTCTTAGAGCGACCTGGTCCTGGCAATTGACTACTCGGATTAGGGACGATAAAATGAAGCTGAGGGTCTGGTCACAACAGGTAAAAACTCGCATGCGAACTTTCAAGAAAAAATCAATCTGATACTCTGACCAGCATGTCCAACCGATAAAAGGCGAAATCAAGGTACTCTGCTCTTCGAAAAAGAATTTGCGCTCACTTTGGATGATTCGGCTATTGCCTCAAAGAACACAATGTGATTAACCGCCATTATTACTGGATATGCAACAATCAATGCTGCCGAAGAGAAAGGCGCGGGGCAAGGGTTGCATAAAAAGTGGCAGTCTACATTTATTAGGAAGGTCGCCTGACCTAAGTCAAAAAGCCTGCCTGACTGAATAATCGTATTTTACTCAAAGCTTTACCCAGTGAGATAATTTTTGATCTCCAAGAAAGCAGCTCAGTTATCGATAATATGCGCCTGCAATTACCACCTACCAACGTTGGCGTGTCAGTCCGTAACAATGCCTGACCCTGATTCTTCGTTGGCGTAGTAATTGCGTTCGGTAGCAAGGCGATGAACATCTTCTGCGTGTCTGCGAATATGCATTTTATGTAGGAGATCCTCACTACACATATGACATCTCCGATCCTGTAAGTACTTTTCTCGGATGTGTCGCAAAGTTGATTTGTATTCGCTGCCAGTGTACGTATATGTTCGATAATGAACAGACAGCAGATTATTGCCATAACATTGAAAGCATCGTCGGTGGCCCACAGAAACAGAGGAAGAAGGGGAAGAAGCACAGACACGCTAAGACTTCCTCCGGTGGAGGTGGTGTAGTAGATCTTGCGGACCCTAGCATTTTACAGGCAAGGATGCAGCAAGTTGGTGGCAATGCTACTGCTGGGCAAGCGAAGTTTTTTGGCCCTCCGGATATAGTTTTCCGCCTTCTCTAGAAGTAATTGTTCCTTTGACATTCCATAAGAGATCAGGGCTATTTTTATTGTTCGCTCTTCTATTGCTGTATGCTCTTTATCAGGTTTATCGCTTAGGGCCAGCTGTTTACGTCGTCTTCAGAGTGGTCTATCTTCAAAGTGACAATAATACTGTGAGATAGCAGTAATAGCAGTATTTCTTTTCTGCTACTCTGCCTCCAATAAATAGGAAGTTGGCTAGGTTAACAACTTTTCTAAAAGATTAATTTGCTCTAGTAGTATACTGCTTGTTTATAATACGTTTTTTGCTTCCTTATTGTCGATAGCCGCTCCAGAGAGCTATTTCTCAATGTCTATATTCGCCTGTTTACAGTCAAACTCTCCAAAAACTTTTTGTCTCAATGCTCTCTCTCTAGCTAGCAAAAGATATTGAGCTTTTTATGTACGAATTTGTCGTATTATATTTGTATTTTCTTACTTAAATTATAGATAGTTATATAGTGTGAAATGGGAATGCTCGCTGGCAGTCTGCGTTGGCAGACGGGTCTATCACGAAGAGATAACACCACCACACTCGCAGAGTGCAGGAAGGAGATAGGCAAAGCGTGACGCTATAAAGGACCGACAGGGCGTATAACAGAACCATTCATAAGCATTATATCGATACCGCAACCTCAGCAGCCTTAGTAGAACATTTTCATAAGGGGGAACATAGTTATTGTTAATGATACTATCGAGCGAACGCTCGTAATTCACCAGCGAGTGAGCCACACCGCCGAGTGAGCCCCCCTAACCAAAAGATCGCGTCTCCGCGAGTCCTTCTATCTTCTATCAACAACCATGTCTCCAAATCGCGTCAAATCACGCCAAGATGCTATCCAACAAGAGGGCCGTATCTTATTAGCCATACGAGGTCTCAAAAACAAGAAAATTGGCTCAATTCGGCAGGCTGCAGGAGCGATTCCAGGTCGACCGGTCTACGCTTATTGTTGTAGTTCAGAGGTATATTTATTGTCTTCTTGTTCAAAGCGAAACATTAGGCTATATATATACAACGAGAAGAACAAGTTGATTTCCAATCAACTTGGTTCTTTGTATAGATATCTCGGTATTAATTCCGATGGTTCGGCTTGGTTCCTGATCTGCACCAGCCTCATATCACAACACTTATACGTCAGCTCCGTGGTACCACAAGTCGCGCTAAAACGCGCCCAAATAGTCATAAACTTAGGGGTGCTCACGATAAAACGATATAGGGGCGACGATACGATATTATCGTCTTTCACGACCACGATAGGCCGCTAGTTGTCATTTCGTAATGGTATTGCAGCTTGCATGAAAGTCTTGTCCATTCCATAATAGGGGCAAACAGCTATTTAACAAAGGTTACTGCTTTGGTAAGCAGGCTAATTACTAATTGCCAAGTAATAGGCAATGTATCCGACTAGTAATAGTAACTTTGTCGCGACAGATAATCATATAGTTACTAGCTTTAAAAGGCCACCTCCGGTGCGCCAATACCCCCGCCAGAGCATGCGCCTTCGTTAGGGATATCGCCCTTTCCGCTGCAAACATCAAATGAGTATACCAAACATCCGACTTTGATACGGCCTCCGCGGCCACCGTTATTGCCTGGTACATCCAATCGTTAGTAGGACTTTCGGTTGTTAACATATTGACAAACTTGTAGAAACTTACAGCCGCCGAATATATCGTCCTTGAAAATGGTACTGCATTTATGCGAGCCGTCTCCAATCGGGTCCTCGAGTTTTAGATCCTTGCAGGTGTAATGCCCATCAGTGTTGACGCCGACATTGAACCAGTATGGAACGGGGCCATCCTTTGTCTGGTACACATAAGAACCTCTGCCTTCGTTGGCCTGGAGCGTGCTCTTTTTGGCAAACGCTTCACATGCCTTGTCGACAGCGGCAGTATATTGATCTGGTCGTACCCCTCCATATATGCTGCCGGGGCGTCGGCTTTCCGGGAAGCATGTCACTTCTCCCATGGTAGGGGCTGCCGTGTTGGCAGGTGATGTTGGCTTCGAAGTGGCAGTGGGGAATTGGGCGTGATCTGGAACACTGAATTTGAAAGTATACTCTGCGCCACACTTGAAAGTCGCTTTGCTTTCAGGCTGGATAGAATGTGAGTCGTAGCCAGAGCCTGGAGTCTCAATTTAGTGGAAACATTCCAAGTGCATGTTTGTATAGACCGATTTCGGAACACTTACAAACCATCTTGTGGATAGTATCCTTGCAGTTCGTGTAGCACTTGTTTCCTGGTTTGTATTCAAAATGGAAAACAAAGTCCTTATAGCTGGAACTACCGATATCCTTGCTTGTCATGTCCTTTTTGGCTTCCTTGGAGTAATCTAGGTGGGCACAGAAATTCTCGCCCATAGTATAGGCTGCTTGTTTGTCGATCGCAACAGCTTTCGTGTTGCTGGATGAAGAGCACTTCGTTTCGGGTTCTGAAATGTAGTCATTAATATGGTCGTAGATCTGCTGTAGCTGATCGAGCGCGTTCAGCCCTTCAGATAGCTTGCTTCTAGTTTCTGAAAAGATGTCCGAGTCCACGACTAAGCACTTGCACCCGCGGAATTCCCCCCTGGATAACGTCAGTGTGGATCAAAACACGGTAACTCATATTGTATTCACGAACCTCTTTACAAATTTCATGATCGTCACTCTTGCAGTCCTCGGACGCGCAATCGATATATTCCTTTTTGGGGTCGGGACAGGTGTCCTTACACTTGCAATCGGCATAGTGACCCTATAACATGTTCAGTCAGGAACATAATAAGACATGTAGATTGAAACTCACGGTACTACACTTTCCATTCTCTCCTTCACAGGAGTCATCAGAACAGCTCGGTGTGTCCTTGCTGTTTTCGGCTGGGCACTCTTCCTTGCATGGGCAGCCAGCCTGGGGTCCTTCAGTACACCAGCCCGAAACAGGTTTACAATCCATGCATTGAGTGTCTGTGAAGTCCTCAGGGCAGCTATCTTGCTTTTTGGGATGGGGGATTCCAGCAGGAGGAGGAACAAAGCCTGGAGGCGGAGGGGGAAAGGGGATGATGGGAGGAACCTTTCCACCGCTATCGCTAGAAGCTGTTAGAACGTATATCTTTGTTGTAGCCAGATGATTGAGCATACCCATCTTTCGGTCCACATTCACAATACAGAGGTGGGTTCAAGAGAGCCTGATTGATCACATCGCTCTTTCCCTGCAGAATCACGAGAGAACAATGCCCCTTCTTGTTGGGATTCTCACCTCCGCAATACTTATTACCGCATTCCCATTTTGGTTCACCAACTTGCTCGGGGCAGTAATAGGCCTCGGAGACTCCCTGGAGTCGATATTTCTTCCAGTCAGCCCCTTCATCGGCCCACACTGCGCTTGTCAAGAACACAAATGCAATAAAGTACGAAGAGAGCCGAGGCATGCTGGGCCGCAGATGAGTAAGGAGGAAATTGTGTGAGGAATATCTCACTTCAATTGTCCTTGAACTACATCTTATACAATTTTGACATGCCCTTCAACTCGCCAAGCAAGATCTTTCCCCCGTCGGTTGTGCTATTTTTGATTATTCGGTTCCGCAAGGCAGACTTATTCATGACGCCATCAACCTTTTTCCTCAAACCGCGCATCTTGGCATCCTCTATCAGCATAAAGGAATCATACATTTGCAAACCCCCATTGTCAGCTGAGCCAATTCTTGCATGTTTCATGTGTTCGACGGCAATGCCTCCGAGCTGGCGGGTTAGAAGATAGTTCCGTCCCGGAGACTTGGCAGGGCCCCCAAACCTACATGGGGGCGATGCCAACATGATTTAGCGTCCCCCATTGGATAATTTCAAAATGACACGGGTAATAGTCAGAGTTTAATCGAGCCTACTCCTCTTTGAGTGGTTTTGGCCCTATTTAGGCCCCCAGATATCCGCGGTTGCAAAAAGTATATGGATACCCAAAGGATCTAGCTCATGGTTTCTAACAAATGAAGAGTCACTATAAGGGATCAGGCTCAGCTCCACCAAGTTAATGGGGCTAAATCTCACAGACGTTCCATGCATATTCTGCAATATATACTTCTCTAAAGGCATAGTCATGGACCCTGCATTCTAGCGTCGTAGAGGTTGTATAACAAAAATAGCTCCAGCCAAGGTGCCCGAGATGGAAACAGGCGAGGCAAGGCAGACTTCAGCTCGGAATATTGGAAGAGCGGACAGAAGTAGATTAGACCTTAGTGCTCCATGGATCATTTAAAAGCGAGACAGATAGGCCCAGGAGAGACTTTTCTTGTGGTATCCAATATTCTCAAGATTCGCTTTCTCGTACGATTCGGTATGCGGGTCAAGTTTGCCTTTCTCGCTGTAATTTTTTGCAACAACCTCGGCCAAGGTTTGACCTGGTCAGTGGACAGTAAATCATGCGGTCGTAAGTTGATTCTTGGAGTTTTAAAATATAGAATTCGCTGAAACTTTGATCAGCTATTACTAGCAACATCGAAAAGGCTATGGAGAACTTGATGAAGTGGCCAGCAGCAGTGGAGAAGTCCCTAGTCAAGGACAAGAGGATCAATGATATGGCCGCCAGTTTATTCAACGCGGTTGATTATGCCAAAGTCAAAGGTGACTTGACCCAGTTTAAACATATTTGCCCAACTGACACCGCCCTTGCTTTTTCAGAGACGATAAATAAGGTTGGGGCTCAAAGCCAAAAGACTACACCAGGCTCGGGCGATCGCGAGGACCCCGTAAGTACTTTCCTAAACACCAGCACATACAGGCTACTAATTAATTGCACCTCAGATCATCTACTGTGACTTGGACCGCTATTTAGTTATATACGACAAGAAAAATCCGAAAAAGTTACAAGCGCTCGACACGATACATAATTATCCTGTCTCGCATGAAATTTACGAGGGATGCGAGAAACGCACCCAAGACATAACAGCTTATACTACACCCCGGACCAACGCGAATGGCAAGGGGCAAACTGTCATCCAGCTCTGTCCTTGGTATCTGAAAGAGGTGGGCCAGACGCCTTTCCTCAACAGGAATGGTGAGCCACAGAACAACAAGCTACACAACGCTGCCGACATTTTGTACCAGAGCAGGGGCACCCCCGTCCACATTGACGATTTTGCACGTCTTGAGCTTACGCTTTTCCACGAGGTGTGTCGAGAATAGACTTCTACGTCGGTCTTGGCTATATGATTTCCTAACCTGCTTGCACAGTTTGTTCACACGCCCAAAGTCAAGTATCCTGCTATTGGCGACAGCGGGACGTATTGGGGCTCATGCACCAGGCTCACGGAAGCCCAAGCTCTCGACAATGCGGAATCCTATGCAATGCTTAGTCTGGGTACGTGGGGTACAAAAGAAATATCTTGTTCAAAGGATATGCTGACAAATTCTAGCGACGTATCTGATGAGCACACTGGACGCAACCATCAAGCCCGACGGTACAATTGAGTGGGAACAGGACGAGTTGTCTGCGGGACAGAAGCGATCTGAAGTGGTGGGCCAGCAATTCACGGCTTAGACAATTTGTGTTCCCAGAGTACCTACAGCTAGTCATGGTGTGTGATCGGTAATTGAATTTAGTCCACTTATAACAGGTTTCAAGTGGATGATCCACTTATACATTCAACGCTTGATTCGAGGCGTAATTCTTTAAGCATTTCGAGTTCCGCATAAATGATATGTTCTATTCGGGATTGTTGTGGAGAGCCCCCTTGCGTCGGGCCCACGATATTCCGTGTTGGACATCGCACACAGTTATCGCTCGTTTATCCCCTCCTTCGAAAGGAACATCCCCGTTTCGAGGGAGAGCCGGGCTCTCTCCGCAACGGTTTTCTTCTTCAAGAGTTCCTCTTGCAATGGTGCGACATAGTTCCGAGGCCCCCAGTACTACTCCTGGGGGACAGACCACCCTGGGCTCCTCGTTCTATCTACCGGAGTATATATGGAATTCCCTCTCTGATACCCAACGCGACTCATTCATGTCCACTGTTTTCGCTTCCCCTGTTGCGGGCGACGGGCAGCGCAAGCGCCCACGTATAGATCTCACCACGGAAGAGGATGTCGACGACGGTAGGGTTCTGTCTCTTGTTTTGCCAGTCCTCCCCCGCTTCCCCGGTCTCCACCGCGCTGCTATTATAGCCGTTTGCGAACACACCTTCCGCCCAAAGAAGGACCTCATAAAACTTCGCAGCCCCGAGTTCAAAGCCTTGACACTGGATGGCGAGTCCTTCTATTTAAAGTCCACATCATCTGGCCTGCAATTTCGCAAGGTGGTTTCAATCAAGGACTGGGGTAATGACGTATCCCCCTGGGCCCATTACTTCAGCAATTACGTCGCTATCTGGTGTGATTTCTTCGCTGTCAAGCACCCGTTATGCATCAGTGGAATGGTCCTCTTCTACCGCCGCATTTTTGACCTTGCCGGGGCATATAAATAGCAGGATTGTATCCTGCAAATGGCCTTAGATCACCACCAGATGGTCGTCGATAAAGGCGACCTCACCGTTTCTTAGGGTAACCGGGATATTGGGAAAGCTCTCGAAAGCTCCTACCTACACCCGGAAAACGTGCTCCCAGCAAAGACAGCGCCGACTACCCCAACCACACAGTCAACGCGCTCTATCCCATGGGGGTGGAGGGAATGCGGCACATCCGATTTCTTAGGGTTTGCTCCAGTATAGCCCCACACCCCTCCCCCCACCACGATGGCACCTTCGGTTTTACTTTGCGCCACATCCATTCCTGAATGGGTGAGTCGATCGACCCTAGAAATCCACCAGTCATCAGTTCATCGTAAATTTTTGATGGGTTACGCCCGGGTCAGATCTCCATCCAGTAGGGTTTTCGGGGTGCCACTGCTCAGATATGATTTATCACATTACTTCCACCACAATAATTCCAGGGTCAAGATCACTACAATTGATCCCATAGCATAGTATTGATTCACCAGTTAACCAGTGTCAGTGCTACTCATAAGCCATTCCAGCGTCCCAAATCTATATATCCTTTACCCAATGGAGACTTTTTGCAAAAAAAAAGCTTCTCCCTAGATATTCAGATATCTGGTCAAAGACTTCCAAGTATCGTTCATTTAAGCTTTTAAACATTCAGTGTTTGATTCTAATTTACCTACAATACTGCAGAGCCATGATGGTGGACAAATTGCCCTCCAGCAGATTTCCAATTCTCTCGGTTTCATTGTGGACATCGTTCTCGCCAGCATGATTCACCGGGCTTTTCCCCCATGGTTTATGCTCATAACATTCGTTTGTAGACATCCAGTGTCTTTCCTCGTCTGTTTGCTCCAGGCATTTGTTACAAGGAAGTCTTGAATATCCGTTTCAGCAGGACGGATTTGGAAACGTAGTTTCCAAAGATACAACCGACAGTATCTGTCAATAACCTGTCCGCTACTATTGGCAACTACGCATTCAGCCAGGAGAAATGCCATCTTCTGGTTGGTTTTCTATATATTCCGCATGAGAATGCTCTATAATGTTCTTGAAGGGGGGACCTGAAAAAGTGGAATCTGGATCTAGGAGATTTGGCAACCCGAGCCAAGGTTCTTGTCAGTACCCTGGGCTATGCCTGGTCTGATATCTACATAAGCACGTCACTGAGTACGGAAATCCATGCCGATGGCTGTTGTTACCGTGGTATAGGGAACACATTGATTATTCTCGACGAGGGGCTCTTGAAGAAAAGCACGAACAGAATTCCTTTTGTGCTAGCCCACGAGATAGGCCACTGGAGAAGCAAACACTCTCTAAAAGGATTTGCCGCAGACCGGGTAAGCTCTGACATTCACGAACATTCTCGATCTCCGTTGATGCTCTTTGCAGCTTATTGAACTGCTCCTCGTGATGGTTGCTCGGAGAGTTGAGATGAAATATCCAGCAACATTTGGCCCCCGTTTCCTTGCTGTATGGTACATGAAACAGTCCATCTCGCGAAGCTTCGAGCTTGAGGCCGGTCAGTCATTGCCCTGTATTTACGAACAAATTGGCTGAAGGCTTTACAGACATCTTTGCTGCAAGGTTTGGGAGTGAGATTCTCACTTTGCAGGCCGCGATGTCCGTATTAGGAGATGCTGCTCTCCCCTATGAGACATACCATCATTACTGGTTGTTTTATCATTTGCATCCCACATCGGAAAAAGTATTGAATCGTTTGAATTATCAATCGACAGAGGAAGGAAAGAAGTTCATGTAATAGCATGTCGCAGAGAAAAGGCGCATTCCATTGCTGTCTATGTATTCTATTGAACAGTGCCGTATTCCTGGTATTTGATTGCTGAAAAAGCACGCTTGACTCCTTTCTTTGATGCTTCACCATATAATATCGAGAAAATATCTCAGGTGTAGCTCAAGAGGTTCATTAGCCCAACTTCACACAGCAATAGAGCATGCAAAGAAATCCCTTTTTTGATGACCGCAAGCTATGGGATTCAAAGAACGGCCGTAAGAACGCTAAGACCTTGCAATATCATGGTCATTTCGCCAGTGCCGTGCGATTGATCTTGGCACTTGCAAAGATTGAGACTGAAGCGCAAATGCGATATATTTCTTGCTGTAACCTTGGCCGGTGCTCGCAGTAAAGTCCTAAATCTCACTTTTGTAAATGGCTGACTATGATAGGTATAATAAATTATGAGGTATGTTACCGGTAGCAGTGCCTTCACCACTATAAGCAGCACAGGTTGTCAGCCTAGAGGTCAAGTCTGGTTTCTAGATCGGTACTAGCGCTGAGGTGCTGCTGTGACCTATTGAGAACTAAGTCGCGTAGTGGGAGATTCTACTCGACTCGATATCAGGTGACCACATTCCGGGCTCTCTGGTCGCCATGGCCATAGAATGTCATGACGAATTGTTCGATAGCCTCAATAATAACGAATGATACACATCTTTCGCGTCACAAATGGTTCTCTGGTATCGTATGGTGGCTGACCCCTAGTGACCATTGGACTTGTGGAAGTTTGTAGACTAATTGCCGCTCTCGTTCACGGCCAGTCTACACAAATATTCCGACTGACTAGAAAGACTCATTGAGCTACGGTCTTCATCTCGCCACCGAGGTCCTTCGAGATCAATGGATCAACAGCGAGCAGGACGTCGTAGCGGAAGATTTAGGGAGGTTGGAGCAGAAAAAGACGCCGAACTCGAGGGCTCGGAGCGGAAGCGCCCGCATGGGATTCCTTATGTTCACTGCGGTTGCTGATGGTAAGAGTAGTAGAAAAGGCTTCGAAATTCCATAGCAGGAGCATTGGTGGCGGCAATTGGCTGACGCGAGAGGAAGAGTGTATGACTTGGAGTGACATTATTGGTCAGTTCGAGAGCAAGAAGATAGAAAAAGGAGGACGCACTGTTTTATTGGAATAGGTGACCTCAATATTTTCATTTTCGATTTTACTCGGCAACTCTATTAGGCATAGCGACTGGACTCTTACTATAGCCCCGATAGTTGGCCAATTCCGGAACAAGGCAGCATTCACAGTTTGCGCCATAGAGACAAAATAAAATATGGAAACTTTACTTTGATGCAGGCAGCATAACTCCGAGCAGTAGCTAAGTTTTACAAATATATAAACAATGCAAGCTCCTCGGAACCCCCAACATTAAACAAAATAACGCGGAATCAGAGTGTAACTAAGAGAACAAAAATTATCCAGGGTCTTCTCAAATAGCTCGTTACGACAGGTTAAGTAACTCACGCAGGATCGCAATCATAACCCACAATTTGCTATATTAGGCCCAGACAAACGACACTAACTGAATCGAGCTAGTGTATACAATCAACTATAGAGATTCATGGTCATCAATAAGCAGCCAGCTCTAGACACAAACATAATTTTGCAGATTACACACTCTGTAAAGGCGCCTGACAACTCCTAACCCCGGTCTTTCGTATCAGCCGAGAATATTCGGCGTATTATTACGTTAAATACGCTGTTAGAGGACGTTGACGCAGAAGGACTTTCCCGAAAGTGTAAGGCGCATTAGATGAATTACCCGCAGGATAAGATTCCACAAATCTGGGATTAGAATACTTAAGCTGCGTTAATCGCTCGTTTACTTCCATCACTATGCTACCCTGTACATTGTACACCTTCAATCGAAAATATTTCTTCCGAGCGTTCACGCAGAGACCGATAAGGAGGGTCTCCTCCCTCTAATTCATTAAAGAGAACCCCCTCGGCCTCCTGATCACAGGCCAAAACTCAGCCCAGATAGACTTTTTGCAATGCATCCATATTCCCTGTGTTCTCGATCTGCCTAAAGAATATAGGGGCACAGAGCCCCGCATCCGCGCCCATATCGCCAAGCAAAACCCCCAGGTAAAGGCTATGATTAAAGCCGTCGACGAAAAGCCACCAAATATCCTGGAGCTCGGCAACGATATCTTAGTACTTTTCAACGGAAAGCACGATCATTATGTCACTCCGAAGTATTATATAGAGACCAAACCTAGCACTAAAAAGGTTGTTCCCACTTAGAACTATTCTGCCGTTCAGGTATACGGCAAACTGTCACTATATTATAATTCGAAGACCCTCAAGGCTGGGGCCTTCCTCGCCCAACAGATTCACGACTTATCTCAACACACCGAAACAACAATCATAGGCTATACCGGTGGTAATAAGCCGCAGCCATGGACGGTTTCTGAAGCTCCAGAATCCTACACCGACTTTCTCAAGCGCAACATTATAGGAATTGAGGTCAAAATCACCAAAATCGAGGGCAAGTTCAAGATAAGCCAGGAAATGCAACCAGATAATCGCAAGGGTGTCGCTGAAGGTTTCGCGAAGATAGGTACCGAGACTGGAGCAGCGATTTCAGAACTCGTCAGGGAAAGAGCGGAATTGAGCGACTTAAAGAAAAATGTTACGAAAGCCAGCCAATAGATATACTAATCTATGAAATTACAAACACATACACTCACCTAAGTAGATCCATTAGCGCCTGGCGCGTCTAGTAACTATAAGCTATAATGGACTTTTATCTAAGAAATTCAATAAGCATAAGGGCCGAGATAAAAAGCGTGCCTTGATTGTTTTCAGTGTCGCAGGGCCGACGCTGGCATCATATCACGCCATATTAGCATTATCACAAAGATACTAAGAGGTGCACAAGCAGTGACAAACCAACATTCTATACCCTAGTCCGAGCCCACCCAGGGGCTCAATACAGTTACAGATCACTACACAGAAACTCGTTGCGTCACGTCACGTATCTACATCTATACCAAGCTATAAGAGCTATCACATTCAGGGGCTTCGTACTTACAAATGTTGTAACGATTTTAGAAATATCTATCCTCGGCGAGGTACTGATCTCTAGTAGAATTCTCTTCTGTACCGTATCGTAGTTTACTTTCTAAACCCTACAGACCTTAGGTTATTTTCTCACCCAGCCTCCTACTAACAACATTATAGATACTCTTATAGAGCTCTTCCACTACAATTCCACTAACCAGGTCTAGGGGTCGAATAGCGGGAAAGGAATCACCCTCCAGTTAAGAGACTTTCTACTTTAAAGAAATTTATATTATAGAGTAAGACAATGGCTATATTATAATGTCCTTTATTATCTAATTAAGTATATAATAATATAGATATTGACGCTCAAACATAATAAACTTAATGCTGCAGCGTAGACCTGGTACTTACCCGCGGGTAACCCTCTAGACCCTCCACCCTACCCGCACCGCAGGTGGGTAAACACCTAATTTATCGACCCTGAGGGTCGCATATAACTGTTTGTCTGTATACCCAGCACAGTGCGGCGAGTTCCCCAGGAAACGTGTTGTTAATCCCGAGCGCACATCCTAAGTCCACTTACGTAGGTGATACATCTTACCCTTCTAACCCCCAAGCCCAGCACACTAATTAAAACTAAACTCATCTACTGGGCAATTAATTACCCAGTAGGTCTCCCGGCCGTATATGAACAAATCGCAACCGGACCTATGATTACCACAACTAAGAGACGCGCTAGGCAACTCAGTATTTAGTAGGCTAAGGGGTATTTCCGGCACAAAAAAATTTGATACAAGACATCAATGCTGCTCTAATTAAGTCTGGAAAATAAGGTACTCAAGCTCTACAAAGAAGTCGCTAATGATTCTTTAGACTTCCGTATGCTTATGATAACCTGAATTTCTCCCGACACCAGTACTCTGGATATTGAAAATTATAATTATCATGCTAACATTTAACCACATACTTCCACATATCAGCTTTCAGCCCTATTTCTAGGTACTTACTTTTGTAGACATCCCAGAACTTTGTTTGTCGTATACAATAGCTTAGGCAGTCACAGCAAAGGCCAATGTTTGTATCAAGTCGATCTGAATCATCACAAGGTGCTATCCGCCAGAGGAGAGAAAATATGTTAACGCAGGTTGATGGCGGGAGAAACCTATACTTGGCTACTGATAGTATACGGATTCGGACAAGTGATAAAACCTGTAGTAGGTGCTTACAGGTCAGCGCAAGACACATTCGATCTAAGGATTCACATCTTATAAAGATATCAACGATTAATTCGGTAGGTAAGCTTAATAGATCGCAGGTAATTTATGCCTCCTTTATGAGGATCTAAGACGAATTAGATACCTGGATACATATCTAGATAATTCTAGAAGTGCCTACGCTGGGTGGTCATTTATTACGGCTTCGACAAGAATAACATAATTTCGGTAATGCAGACATTAGGCCGCTTTGGAAGCCAAATTTCTGGCCCTCAAGGAGTATTGAGCTTGATGGTCAAAGATAAGAGTTTAGACTTACTGACAATGTCAAATTTGATGATTTTACAGCCCAAGGGGCCGATCATGCGAGCCTAACTTGTTCTCTAATTTGTTGCTAGGGCAACCGAAAGGAAGAAGAAATGCACCGGGTTTCTTTTCCCCTAGGGTATAGGCCTGCCTGCCGCTGCGGTGAGGATCGACGCATTTCCAATGTGAGGCCGCCGGTATCGTAGAGCAGGCTGGCCAGATAAAATTGCTGCTTTAGACGTGAGGATCTAGGAGGATGCTGCTGCCCGATCTAATCGGTATACTATTAGAGGCAGCATCGCCGCCATAGGATAGTCTGTAGCACTAATAGGTTTGTACCGGGCTCCTCGTCCGAACAGTACATCGATGCATAGAATCCCACACCACCAACCCGTAAGGGCCCAGTAGGATACGTCTCTTTTCCGGAGTCGATATAGAATTAATCGGAGAGATAAGACACGTCGATCGTGTTACCCCAATGCTAGGCAAACCCCTGCATCATTCCGTCCCACGTATTGGCTTTGGTCAATATCTTTAAGTTTTTGCTTTGGTCGATAATAGTCACGCCCGAGAATAGCTGAAGTCCAGTACTCTCGATAGTCTCTCAAATACTTGCCCACACAAGCGCAAGCACATTTAGCGGGAGAAAATAGAATAGAAACTGATGCCGAGCGACTAGATCCACTCGCTGCGAGCGCATCTTAACCCCCCGGGCCATAGCATTCACCCGGCCGTGGTCAAAGCTAGCAGGATAATCCTGGACAAGCGAGCCGTCGTTATAACGACAAATTACAGGAAGGAGTATATAGTCTATCCAAATCCGAAAGTCATCATCACAGAGGCGGCTAGGCCGCTAGATTACTGCTCCTCTCGGTATAGCTACGGGAATAGAAAGTAAAGAGAGATATCCTTAAATCCGACTAGCCGCCCAAATATATAATGTAGGATCTTATGCACCGGCCGTCGAACATAATGATCACCACAATTACTTCCAATATATTGTATAGGAAGAGGATCAAGGTGCAGACCCAAACAAAGATCAGAGAGGGGCATCTGAGTCAAGTTCCACCGCACTCCGAGTTTAGCCACAGCTAGGCTGCTATCTGGGTATTATAGTGTTGTAGTCACCTGCCACAATTTTCCTGTTGGATATATACTGGTAGAATATTAATCTGAGAAGTTCAAAGATAAAGATATCAATGATCTAGAGAAGATCAAGGGAATAGGGGTTAGCTCCTCATCATTTATGATAGGTCATCTAGGGAGAAGCCCCTAAAATTATAGCTAAGCTCTTAACGCGACATATGCAAACTATAAATAAAGGGTATTTTTCTCTATGGAGCTGAATATCTAGTAAAGACTGTAGATATTCAAGAATCTTATTTAGCTTTACTGGTCATGAACTGAGCTATCCTAGATTTGAATATTTTTGACAATATATATCTGTAGCTCTCTTACTCGGAAGATATTCTAAGCTATGGCAGTATTTGCTCCTAGTAAGACTGAACTCCAGAGTTATCGTTTAATTGGTTCTCTGGTAATTACTCTTGAGATTATCTGGAATAACTCTACAATCATCGTGAACCTTGCTCTATGATACCTGACAAACTTGTTGCTGCTAGAGATAGAGAATTTGGGATGGGGCGACTTGTTGACACGCACCACAGGCGCTGGGAACACGCGAAATGGACGAATCAGATGGCGAAGAAATGGAATGGGAAGCATCCCCTTTTCCGCTGGGGTATAGGGGTTGACAACGCACGGACAATTTGCATGTAATGGCGGGACAGGTCCCTGCTGTCCACCGCAGGGCTTACTATGGGGCGCACGGACGAAAAGCGTGGAATGGGTCCCATTCCCGTGCGGCATAGTACAGTAGGGTATTTCTCGAACCCTAATCTGAAGTAGGCTAATGCACCTTTGACCTTTAGCGCCGTTTCGAAAGCTGTATTGTACTGAAAGAGACAGCCACGTGATAAATTATATCATAAATTACTGGAAATACTGTGACCATGAATACACACAACAGCTGCCCTCATTTTCTTGGCAGCAATGGTCGCCAGGAGGATAAGGATTAACAAGCACTCCACAGGTCAAGTTACTTGTCTACGTCATCGCTGTGCCTGGATATACTACCTGCTGAGCGCAAAGGCGTCCTTTTTATGACTTGATCTACCAAATACTAATGAACGATCCCGATCGATATTATAGCCTTCTATGAAGGGTGTCTGAATCGGGTTGAAGCAAGGAAAAACGGTGCCTAATGGCGCTTCCGGCGAGCAGGCTTAAGCGTTATAAATAAATAATTGGTACTTTCCCCTTTTACGGTACATGTAGATATGCAATTAATACAGAGCGATTCTCATCAAACAAGCTCCTCCAGAAACATGGGCTTGGGCTCTGTCTTGAGTCGATTCTGTTGGCCTGTTTCACCAAAATATTGCCATAAATATATTATGACTAGAGTTGTAGGTATAGCGGAAGCCCAATAGATCCAGAACTCTTTCGCAACCGACCACCCGGAATCAAGGCTGAAATTAAAGAAAGACATGCTGAAGAGTGCGCAGATGAACGTCGGAGGCAGAAATATGAGGGTCACGTAAGCAATTTTCTTCATAGCAGCGCTATCTAGTCTCGCAAGATCAGCATTTTCCTGGGCAAGATCTGCCGTTACTTGAGCAAGATCTGCCGTTTCCTGAGCAGCTCTGTTGTATCCTCTTTGCATTTCATTTTGTAGTCTCTTTTCGTTCGATGTTGAGCGGCATCGCAAGCTAACGAGACAGCTTTGGAGGAATGACAACTGGGAGTGAATATCCTCCGATAATTGTAGGATGTGATCATTTCCAGACATATTTATATGCTCCAACTTGAGATAATCATGATGATGTGCCAGTATACGCTCCATGGTCTGGATGCTAATGTCAAGTGACTCCGTGACGTGGGTCGCATGTCTAGCCACTTCATGAATAAAGGTTGCCCATTGTCTTTTAGTATTTGATCGAAGTTCTTGGTGCTGACTTTCAGGCGAACGCTCCCACGGGTGTGTGAATCGTACAGGATCCTTCTCGGAAGGCCTAACCTGATCTCTTATAGACTTGACGGCAGATTCGGCCAGAGAAGCTAGCTCTTCGACTAGGTTGGTATAAATCCAGAATGGATCGCTCATAGAGTCTGTCGCTGGGCTTAGAAACCACTCAGAAACATGATCACTTGGGTCGAAGATAAGAATTCCAGTTTGTTCTGTCGAGTATTTCCATTTTGTGAAAACATTTATCTTCGGCCACATATAAGACATGTCCTGAGTGACATGCTTGACTTCAAAAGACACCCAGGTATCTATCAATGTTAGTCAATAGGGGCAGGTCAATAAATCCCGAGAGCTTGTCGATATATCATACTAAATTCAGTCGGTTTTCCTGCATGCCGAATAACCTGGTGCCCAAAATATCCGCCCGAGTTACTGACAAATTTTGACCACCAGGACCTAGGAAAATAGAATATAGAGGTAAATTTCTTGCGACAAGATAGACAATTCCTTATTGTATCTGCCTGCGCAAATCTGCTAGTATTAGCGGAGAAAAGTAATCTTTTGGGGCTCAGATACGTACAGAATATATACCTGAGTGTCTTCAGATATTAATCCTCGGGGATTATCAGATTCCTTGTGGGTGAACGTATGCTCTCGCCAGCCGCTTGCTGATTTTATTAGTAACAAACCAACTTGGTTCACAGTCAACTAACTTTGGTTCCATTGTCGTATGACCAAGCTCGGACAGGTTTGACAGCCATTTTCAGCCATTTTGATGACCGGTGAATATGCAGAAAGATGAAAATCCTAATAAAACAAATACTCAAATGTCAATGATTATGTTAGTGGGTGACAGAAATATTTATGTGGGCGATTAGAAGATAAAGCGTTACTAACATTAGTTTGTTTTCACGTAACGCCAAGGTCATGAATTGCTTCGCCTCAAAAAAGCAAATGTAGCGTACTGCGCCTCAATGTTTTGGCCTATTGTATCCCTGGGAATATGCAAGCGATATGACCTGGGCGGCCACTATCATCAGCCCGACGGGCACGGGAGACAAACTGGAGCTTTCGCTAGACGGACTCTGATAAATAATTTAGGATCAAAGAAAGCGACAAGTAGTCACCAATACGATAGGCGGCATGGTATGAACTAACAGTGTCAGATTGGGTCCGCTGACGGCGGCGGAGGTCAGTGCGATGATTCAAATACATTGTTGGAAGGCCATACAAGGCTAATACGGAAGCTCCTACAGTGGGAGGCCAAAATAGCTCGTTTTTCAAACTTTCTCACCGCCACTGAGCTAACCAAATATATACTAGCGCTTTGTTAGCAACCCATAATATATTTGCTCTAAACCAGGATAGGGAGAAAATAGGACTTACAACCGTATTTGAATACTGCCAAGAAAGGGGTTCGGGGATTGATTAACTGTATTAGGTATAGCGCAGTTTCAAAAAAGGGGTTGGGAAAGAATCTCTGTGTGTAGGTGGTGAATCTGATTTCGATCCATGCTGTAACCCGAAGCATACTGACATAAAAAGAAAACGGCACAAGCGTCTTGCACATTCTTACCGCCTTTGCAGCGCAACGTGATCGCCCTGCCGCACCAAGAACCTGACCGCCTCACAGTGATCGCCGCCTGACAAATAGACAGGCTGGACAGAGTTAGGCAACTTTGCGCGACCTGCAGTCTCTAGTTGCTTAATCAAGACCAGCGTTCCGAGCAAGAGGCCCCCCGAATCCTGCCAATATGCCCATTTGCCCATCAGCCCTTTTGAAGGGTAGTTCGACCGAGTATTTGAAGTCAAGACAGGGCTGCAAAACCTGCAAGTAGGTGCTTATCCTTAAGAAAATATCATTGTTCGCGGAGAGGACAAAATACTAAACCTCACATAGAATCAGAAAAGTCAAGTGCGGAGAAGAAAAGCCATACTGCACCCGATGCACTAGCACAGGTCGTAAGTGTGAATACGAGGGCACAATCTCTATGGTCGATAACCCTTTTTCATTATCACAAAACATCGTCTGGCGAGAACGCCGGTCTTTTGCGTACTATATTCAGCAGACCGCACCATCTGTTGGTGGTGGGCTAGATGTCACTTTCTGGAGCACCATTATCCCGCAACTTTGTCGGAATGAACCTGCCATGTGGGATGCTATTATTACCATTGGTGCACTATTTGAAAGCCCCGAGCCATGTCCAGATCGTATTTCCATTCGCCGAGGTAATTCTCGCACATTCAATCAAGATCACCGAGACGCGTTATTTTGGTACTCGCGCTCGGTGTCTGCCATTCGTCAGCAGATTGAGCGAGGTCGCCTGGACATGCTTGTCGGGCTGATCAGCTGTTTACTGTTTATCTGCATTGAGTCCATTCAAGGGGGAGTAGAAGAGGCTTCTCAGCTTTATGGTCAGGGGGTGCATCTTATCCTCGCTTTCCGTGCTCAAATAGCTGCCAAAATCGTGCCATCAGCCAACGCCTCCCTGTTAGAGGATGTCATCGTTCCAATCTTCCTTCGTCTAGGATCAATCGCTGTCCCTCTTTCGGCACTTCAAGTCGGGTCTTTACTAGGAGAAATCAAGCATACGCTGGCGCCAGAATTTAATTCTCTCAAGTCTGCTCGAGACGGCATTGTTCTCATAGCTGCAGAGATCCATGGCTTTGAAGGCGAATGCATTGAGTATTTACGAGAACCTGATACCTCCGACAAGCTCCTAACCTTGACACGGCAACAATCAACCCTATCAGCCAGATTAAAGACTTGGCACTCTGCTTTTGTCAACCTAGTTGACTCGCTGCGCAGAAGACGAGACTTGTCACCACAACAGATTGGCATTGGCGCCCTGCTCTTCGCTTCTCACGAGGCGCTGTTAATAATACTGCGTATCTGCTTGTCATCAACAGAAACCGATGCAGACGCATATATACCCAACTTTCAAAATATAGTGGAACAGTCCGAAATTGCTCTTGATGCTACAGCACGACCAGACGGAACACAACCACCATACACAGTTGAACTCAGCGTCGGTTTCCCGCTCTGGTTCACCTGTCTCAGATGCCGCGAACCTAGAATCAGGCGCACGGCACTCGCCTTATTACGCCGAGCTCCTCGGGTGCTGGGGTTCTACAAGACCCGATCCGTGTTCACTTTCGGCGAGCAGGTCATGGCGTTAGAAGAAAGATACGGGATGGCAATGAATTCAATTCAAGCGAGAGCCAGTTCTGCAGTACTGAAATCACCCCACCCACCTAGTAGATATCAACAGGGGAGTCAAGGCACGGGTAGCGAGGTTTCAAAATTCGACCTCAGCACTCTTGTCACCGCCCCGGACGATGCGAATATTGCAAGCATATATTCCATGCCTGCAGGCTTCGAAAACTCAATATCGACATCAATGCTCATCCCGGAAGAGGCACGTATAGGACCCATCAAGATTTTTCGACCAAAAGATGGGCTTCCTCAGGGAACGACAGAAAAAGATATTGCGAAGTGGAAACCAAGCCATGATCAACTCTTTTTGCGACTCACATGGAACGAACGTGATTTGTTTACCGACACTTGGCGGAGAGTCCACAAATACATCCCTACCACTCTTTAACCTGATGAAGGTATGATCAGGGTTGTGAAATTTGATCCGACGCTTATGTTAAATAGTTGACATTCAAATACCTATGCAACGATAGTAGACGCTTAAATAATAAATTTCTTTGTCGTATAAGCACAATATCATCGATAGTTGGATTAGGTACTAGATACGTAAGGAGTTGATTACGCAGGCTTTTGTCCGATAGTCTGAAAAGGCCTTATTGAGATTAGGATGCTGCTTTGGAATTTTAAACAGAGTAATGCAGACATAGATCCGAGATATGATATCCCATTTGCTTAGGTCATCTTGTTTCGACGCGAGGAAGTTCTGCCACGGTTGAAGAAGATTACCGTGGAGCTTGGAATTAGGGAGTCGCTGGGCTGGTGTATTCGTGAAACCGCGGCAGTATTTCGAACCAATCAAATAAACGGATATTCTTTTAAGGATTTTTCGCTGGGCCACTAGTAACATCGCAGATTTGTCCTCGATTTGTCATTGCCAGCAATAATCCAAAGTCTTCAGTCCATGAAGGGATGGCTACGACACGTTTCAACGCGTACGGCGATGAAACCCAGCTGACTGTTCATAATAAAATAAACAACTTCATCAGCCAGCGTTGTTATGGAAGGCTTAGCCCTCTGCAACTTTCCTATATCTTCAAGTCCGTATTTTGGACTAAATTTGGTGAACTGTTGTTTAGTGTTAAACAGAAATTGCAGTACTACTTCAGCCACATAGAGGATTCGGATGGTATCCGTATGAGCAAGAGCCTAGAAGGCTTTTTCATAACTGTGAGGACCTTAGGTACTCACAGAGATCAAGATACGATATAGTGCAGCAGGCAAAGAAAGTAGTAGTGTTCGACAAAAGTAATAGCTTATGGAGAATATAGAGGAAGCTAAGATAGAACTAAGTATATATAGGTGTAGATACCTAAGTGGACGCTATCTACGTCAGGCATCTGCGAATAACTAGTAACAACCCTAGTTCGTTACAACAACTGCAACTCTGTGCGTAACAGAAGGACCACTGTTGGCCTGGGCCACCATCATCCTTTGGTTCGCGCAACGTGGATTTGATGAATGGCGTCTTTTTCTTGAAGTTATGGGGGATTTTAAATTTAGCTTTTCCTTTGTTTTCAGGACATTCGCGGGTGATTGAGCGCTGCCCACTGTCACAATTGGCGCGATTGACTGGTATTGCCTGCCCTCGCATTGACGCACACTCCCAGGTCGGGTGCTCGCCGGCACAGTGGCTGCAATAGAAGACGTTTAAAATAGTATGACTTGGTATGTCCTTGTCTTTGGCATTTTCGGCACAGTTTCATCCGTCCCTCGCAACAGAAGCGCGACGCCTTGTGGATTTGCTTCCCTCATACGATTCCACTGATGATAGCACTGCTGGACTGGTGAATTCGTTTAGGACCAAACATTCCGCCCAGATACCTGGCCGCGTCAGCCAGCCAGGATGCTTAACCTTGGCGCCTTCGCACCATTCGTTCTGTCGAAGCAGTTCAGCTGAGACGTCGGCCATCGTCTCCGGGGCGAGCCTCGTCAACTTCACAGGGATATGGTACGCCACGACTCCCTACAACGGCGCCTGAACCACTAAGCCAGGTCCAAAGGCCCTCAGCCACTCAGGATTCTTGCGATGCAGTTCAGCCCCTGCGGCACTCTTGGCCACTATCACCACATCACCTGATCGTTACTCTTCCCATCAAGCATGCCCCATGCGGCTCCAACCGGCTTCACTAGACACCAAACCGACCCAGAAGTTTATACGTGGGGTCGTATGGGAGAACACAACATCGTTATTGCCGCTCTGGCACCCGGGGTCTATAGAACCACTTCTACGGTGACCACAGCTTCGAGACTTCTTGCCTCTCTACAATATGTAAGTATTGGTCTTTTGGTCAGTATAGACAGTGGTATTGCTTGGCCGGATATGGATCACACTATACGGTTAGGTGATATTATTATAAGCTGGCCCTGTTTATCATAAGTGGCGGCTGTCAGTATAACTTGACTAGGGCTAGATTAGGTAGTAAGTATAAGAGTAAGGAGTTCCTTAGACTTCGTCTAACAGTCCTCCTGAATAAGCTTGCTAGTATTCAGGCTGGTCACTTACTAAAAGACTCCAATATTCTCTACCTCTTTAAGTAATGCTAGAGAGAAATCTGAAGATAGGTAAGAGATCTAAGTAAAATCCTGGCTAATATAATCCTTAAGATACTACTAACCCTGATATCTACTATAAGACTATTATATCTGGTAATATATTGTTAAAGGCGCTGCTGTACGTAACTAAATTATTGCTGATCTTAGCGAGGATTATATCTGCTTTAAGGTAGAAGAGGCTAGCCTGATAAACCACTTCCCTTATCTTGTGATCCTGGGGGATCTATAACTATACTGATTCTTATAATAATGATTAATGATAGTGCGATTCCTTAGCTACTGCTGCTGTATATGCTAAGGAGCTCCTGGCTTATATACCAGCACTGCAGTAGAGGTACAGAAGACTAAGAGAGTACAAGAAGTGTTTTAGTTAGGTAAGTTCTTGTCTTATTTACTAGGCTTGACCTATCTACTAGACAAGACTGAAAAATATTTGAATATAGAATATGTCCTGATAGCTAGTAGTTCAGCAGTGAGTAGATAGTATATAGCAGGCAACAGTTTTAATAAAAGCTGTAACTAATTCTATTAGGTCTGACTAGACCTGTGCAATAGGCCACCTATAGGCTGAAATTTTGTAACCCGCCAATTGGCTAGGTACCTATTTAGCCCCTAAATAATATAAATTTTATAATTTCCTAAGTATATTTCTTAGTAGTATTTTTTAGTATTCTAAAATTATCTTCTTAACTATAGCGAATTATAAAATTCAATTTAATTTAATAAACATATATATAATTGAGCCGAACATATATATTATAATGGGGATTTCCGCTCTCAACATTAGTATCCTAGGGTCATAGTTATGACAGAAGCCTTAGCAATAAGGCCCCTGTTTGTTTCTAGAGAGTAATATTCGAAATTATATTTACCTCTAATCTCTTACACTTTCTCCGGCGCCCCACTAGAAACTAACTATACCATACTAGGTAGTCTCTCTGCTCATCTTGCGACCACTGATGTGATATACCTTCGATGAGTCATTATATGTTACAGTAACTAGTTAACGTAACTTGTATAATAATCCTGGTTGGCTCTCGGTTGCGCTAAGTAGTTAGCTCGTCAGGGGTTATAAAACCGGGGTCGGGACAGGACGCTAACGGCTCGCTGGCTAAGCCGATCTCCCTTATTTAAGGTATAGAACGAACGTCTCTAAAGATATATTAATATCTATCAGTAATCATACAGAGTCTCTATACTATAAAGGAGAATAGGTACAGTATAATCCTTATACGAGCGCTATACATAGTATAAGTATAGCTTACAATATTACTCCTAAGGAGTATAGAAAGCTATATAGGTACAGTCTCTTACTTTATTATACTAAAAAATATTTACCTATAGAGTCTGTAAACTTATAAATTAATACTCTGCTAAGCAATACTATTATAATATACGGTGATTTTTATATAATTCTTAATCTATTAATCTTATTATATATCTATAGAAGTATACTAAGACCCTCTAGCTAAGGCTAAATAATAATTATTGAGATTCTAGAGTGAAGTTGCGTGTATTAAGTAGTATCTAGTATATGAAAGGTTATATATATAAGAAAAGCTATCTACAGTAGACGTAATATACTGTAATAGTACTTTAGGAATAATATCTTTCCCTACCTAGACGAAACTTATCCTTAAGTTTCTTATTTTCAAAAAGAATTTATAAAAGGTCAGAATTAGACATCGCCAGAACCCATATCAACCATAACCTAACCCAACCCAACCCAGCCCAAAATGGGTTTTGGGTCTAATTCTATAACCCATTGATAGGTTTTAGGTTGAGACCCTTAACCTAAACCCACATGGGGACCCAGTGGGTCCCTATTTTGGTATAAACAGGATAAATATGCCAAGCTTTTAAATACGGTCTGTATAAGGTCTGTTTTTAGGCCTTATATATAGGTACTTTTTTTTTTTTTTATAATATTATTATTTTATATTGAATATATATATATTACAGGTTAAAAGGGTTAAAAAAAGTATATTAAAAAATAAAATAAATTACAGAGTTCTATAGTAAAGATAGTAGTAGACCCTACTAGATTATATATATATCTTTACGAAAAGTCTTACTTTTTTAATCACTTTTTTAATACTTAACATTTAGATCCTAAATCTTAAATATAAAATACTTAGTATTATATAAAGCTATATATAAAATATTAAGATCTAAATCCTTCTAGAAAAAAAAGATATAAAAAGATATAATATTAGTATTTAAATACACAACATAAAGATTATGAAAAATTATGTAAAAATTATGCTAAAATAGGTCCAAATGGGTCTAAATGGGTTACCTATTTATAACCCACTAGGTTTTGGGTTGGGTTTTGGGTCGGCATGTTCAACCTAAAATGGGTTATGGCGATGTCTAGTCAGAATCAAACAGTCGCTATATTTGATTTCGGTCAGAACGAATAGTGCTAAGTCGACCCGTACGTTACGTATATACGTGGTTAATATTAGGTATAAATAGCCTTAATTATAAGTAAACAGGTAGGAGCAGATAGCTTTATTTACAGAAAGAGCAGCGGTATATTATTATTGTTAATAAAAGTACGTTACCGGCTACTTTAAAATCTCTTCTTTATTTTATCTATCTCTTTCTTACTATTTCTATCTTACTATCTTTATCTTATTATCTTACTTTAAACTATTCTATACTTCTTTATTATAGGTAAGTTATAATCTAGAGCATTACTTATAAGACAGTGAAGTCCTACAAGCATTAGGGGATGTTTGAATAGCTTCAGTGATTGCCAGAAGAGGAAATAGTATTAGAGGGATACCCTTAGGCTTAGTAATCGAAAGGTCAGATCAAAGAGAGCAAAAGAAGATGTTGTAGAAGATAGGTTTGCCGGGGGGTAGAAGCCCTTTTTATATTGCTCTGGCTAAGCGGTAAGCTAAGCCAGACTAGGCCTAATTAAGCCTCTGGCAGAATATTATTAATAGGCGGTATAGCCAAATAGACTAGGCCTAGATAGGCCTGTAGCAGAACTCCAGAAGCTTAGAATATAGGCCTTGCTTAACAATAGTTAAGGACTTTAACAAACCTTGCTAAGTTTATTAAGCTTAACTATTTTTATTAAGCAGATCCTTAACTAGCTTTGTTAAGCTTAAACTAGTTTTGCTAAGTCTTCTTTATTATGCTTAACTAATTTTTGTTAAGCTATCTTATATTAAGAGCTTTGTATCTTCTTCTTATATATATATATATTCAGAATAATTCTAGAGTATCTAATAAATAGTCTTCTAATAAAGAAAGGTTACTAAGGGACTTCTATAATAAAGAAGTATTTAGGTACTATAAACTATATCTGGGTAGGGCAGGGTAAAGAAGGCTTAGAGATTTCTTAGTTTTTAAAAATAAAGGTATAACCTTATCTCTCTTATATATATAATACTAATTAATTATAGATTTTAGAGTACTATTCTAGTTAAAATCCTCTTTTTATAAAAGTACTAGGAGAAGAAACTACTTTAGTTTACTACTATTAACTAACTACTAATATAACGTTTTAAAGCTCCTAGGCTTAGTAAGATTATCTGTATTATCTGTTTAGTATTCTCTAAGCCCTTAATATCCTCTGCTAAAATAATAAATTACTGCTTATACTCTATTATTAAAATATATTAGTAATTAGCCCTCTAAACCCTTTCTCCTAATACTAAGCTTTTACTTATACTTAACTGCTAGACGTTACCCTATAATTAGGTATTTAAAGTAATAACTACTTACTTTATAGATATAAATTAGATATACTAAGAGGTATTGCTTAGATTTAAGCCAGTAAATAGTATATACAGTAGTTCTAACCTAAGCTAAATTATTCTTTAGATTCTAGAGTAATATTAGATTTAAGATTAGATTTATAGAATTACTACTAATAATATAATAAATAATAAAATAATAATTAAGGCCCTTTAGCAGAGTCTGCTACCTAATATAACTATTATCTAGATTCCCTATCTTATATATATTATCTAGCTAAGTTTAAATAAGCTTCTTAGGAAACTAAAGATATCTCCTTAGAATAAGGATACTAAGACTAGATAGACTAAGTAGTATTCTACTATAGTAAAAAAAGAATATCTAGAACTATAGTATTATAGTAATACTTAATAAGATTTAATATCTAACTATATATATTAATACTAGTCCTTAACGTTATAAGACCTTTCTTTAACTCTAACTAAAAAAACCTTAATTAGTACCTATTTAAGATATTAAGATATATTAGAACTCTACCTTCTTAATACTTTGCTAGGCTAAGTAAATTTATCTATTATTTAAGCCTTTCTATAAGGAATATAATTATACAGAGATACTCTTAACTAATAATAAGTAGTAATA